ATTTACCCCGCACCCTAACTCCGCGAGCCCCTGCGCGGCAGGTATTTACCCCGCACCCTAACTCCGCGAGCCCCTGCGCGGCAGGTATTTACCCCACACCCTAACTCCGCGAGCCCCTGTGCAGCAGGTATTTACCCCGCACCGTAACTGCACAAGCCCCCCGTGTGGCAGGTATTTACCCTGAACCCTAACTCCGCGAGCCCCTGTGCGGCAGGTATTTACCCCGCACCCTAACTCTGCGAGCCCCTGCGCGGCAGGTACTTACCCCACACCCTCACTCCACGAGCCAGGTATTTACACCGCACATGACCCTTGAGATGTGGGTGAGAAGGTAGTACATACTGACCCACTAAGGAACCAGGCTTGGGTCCATGACCCGTGTGTGTAAACCCAATTACACCCATTTCACGTGGGTGACGCATCTCGCTTGTAGTCTAGTGAAAAAAAAGTAAGGTTACTAAAAGTAGGTTCTTAAGAGTAAGGCTGCCTGTGTGAAGAATCCTGGTTCAAACCACTAATAAGACAGATCACCGTAATCATCTGACAGATCACTCCCCTTCCTTCCTAGTTTACAGCCTGTGCGCTTTTCTTTCTGCATTTTACACTCACTATTTTCATATTTGGAGATGACCCAGAAGCTCCGTCCTCATTGTCCCCATGTCCCCATTGTCCTCATTGTCCCCATTGTCCCTGTGTCCAGGCCTCCACTCCCTGCACAACTGTCACCTGAATGTGCTTTTGCCCCTAAGCATTCTGGGATTTACTTTTTGGCCACATTCTTATTGATCTCCTTCACACTGGTCACTAATCAGGATGTTTGGAGTGACGTTTAGGGCTCGTCTGGCGTCAGGCTTCTCCGATTGAGCAGAAAATGGAAACAAGGCCCAGGACTTACAAGTAAGACTTTCAGGAATGTCCCAATAGGACTAAAGCTGGTCCAAGCTCATGCTTTTTTAAGGGTGACCAGCCATGCGCCCTTATCATGGCAGTTTAAGGCACCGTTTAAAATGCTCTTTCTGGAAAACCTAAGGAACAAAGATGAGATTTCACGTGTTTGTGTGTATAAACTACCCACAACAAACTGATAAAACATAAAAAAAAACAAAAAATAAAACAATCTATTTTTGGAAGTGAAATTTATTTTATGATGGTATTTTAAGGCAGGAATTAAATGGTGAGGTTCTCGAGTAAATTAAAAATCCCCATTTGAAGAAACAGACGTAAAAATACATATTTATGGTACCAAACCTTCTTTTCCAAATTTTAATCAAGAAATATAATATATTATAATATAATAATACACCAGTCACATCAATATCTACTACTTAAATAATTATAATGGTAAAATATTATATGCTGAATACGAATCTAACAAACGCCATGGCAGCAAAGGTAAGAGTGGTTCTGCTTGTACTTTGCAATAATGAAATATGTCTTTAAGAAATACAATCAGAAAAATGTAATGTGGCCGACTTTACCAAGGTCAAAGGTTACAGGGAATTCGGAAGACTGCCGTAAGAGCGCAGCACAGGCGGCCTGACGGCGAGATTCCCGGGCCGGGTTCTGCTGGGACACACCGTCGGGGACTGGAGGGAACGGCAGGGGAATGTTAAACACTGGAGTCGCGCTCCGTCGGCAAACTGCGGATTCCCCTGAAGCAGGAAGCCCGCCGTTCCGCTGGCTGTGTATCACGCTGTTCCCATTAAAATAGCTACTCCAATAACTAAGTCTAAATGAATAATACCAGAAGGGAAAAACACACATATTTTTTATGTTTCCCGTCGAAATGTGCCTTGTCTTTCCCCCGATAGTGACGCCCGTGATCACCTTTAAAGTCGTGTGCCTGTGTGTGACTGGCGTACAACTGGGGCTACGAGGAAATGCCATATTGACATTATCATCTGGGTGAAAGGCAGCACACAGCCTATGGAGCGAGAGAGAGAGCGAGCGAGCGAGCAGGCCTCCTGGAGTCGGGAATCAAGAGAGACCATGCAGAGTCTCAGGGATTTAAAGCTGCAGGGCAGCAGCAGAGTCACTAATCGGAAGGCCCACTGACACTGAGTCGCTGAGTCTGAGCGGTCGCTAATCGAAAGGCCCACTGACAGAGTCGCTGAGTCTGAGCGGTCGCTAATCGAAAGGCCCACTGACACTGAGTCGCTGAGTCTGAGCGGTCGCTAATCGAAAGGCCCACTGACATTCGGAGTCACTGATATCTGACTCTGGCCATGTTATCCCAACGTCTTTATGAATCCAAATGCAGGAGTGGGGTGGTGGGTTTGCAAAGAAAGCCCCCCCCCCGTAAATGGCCAGTGGATGCCCCCCCCACCCCCAGGTGGCCAGTGGATAGCCCCCGCGCAGGCCAACAGCACGCCAGTAACACTATGCGCGGAGAGCAGGATTCCCGCCACGTGAAGAGGACTCTCTAAAGGACTCCAGATGACAACACTCATACTCACTCTCGCTTCCTGAATGACCTTTAACCTCACGGACGCAGTGCTGACCCTAAAGGGAAGAAAGCTGGCCGGCCTGGTGACACGCAGGATGTGGCGATACTTACCCAGAGCCCCCGGTGGTGCTACCCCAGGGGAGCTGATGGGGGTAATGGCTTTCTGCTGGCGGAGCCGCGGAGAGGCCCCCATCAGCTCGGCCGCAGGCCCTGACCTGGGGGCCCCGGCCACCTAGAGGTTTGCTTCTCTGCTACTAGAAAATGTTTTATGGCCGCTGTAGTGGCGGCGTTTACGGTCGCCCCCCACTCACCGTCTTCAGCGGCGGCCTTGAGCACCGCCTCAGGGTGCGTCGATCCCAGGGGGTTCCACACCAGGCGTCTCCTACGCCGCAGGTTGTCCTCCCAGGGGTCCAGGCGCCAGAAGTCGCGGGATCGGCTGCGGGGAGATGGGCGGCCCACGTTAGCCGTTAGCGAGCCAGCCGCACTAGCCGGCGCCACATAAAGCCGCCCTTGTTAGAGTCCTGCAGAAATCCCCGATTCCACCCCCGGCCCCCGGTCAAGGTGAAATGGGTGCTTAATGAATCACCGTAAAAGCATCTGCTGACAGAGATCAGACAACCCCCAACCCCGGTTCTGTAGGCCAGTTTCAGTGGCGCTCTGGTACCGTTCCCTTGGCCCGGGAAGCAGCCGTTAAATCTGACAGAACAGTGTGGCCTGGTTCCTCTGGATTGGGGGCTTTCCCAGCATCATCCACCAATCAGACGCTCTGCAGAAAGAGGCACTACAGAGTCAGCGGGAAACGCAGAGGACTTCAATCTCACGTATCGAGGCTTCATCTCCGGAAACATCCGCTATATTTAGCATAAATCAGTGAGCTGCCCCCGCCCCCCCCGGGGTAGGAATGCGGCGATCAGACTCCCGTAGCAGACGGCGTTGACGTTCCGGCCTTCGTGCCGTCGCCGTTGCACGGCGGGAAGCAGAGAGGCCTGCGAGACGCTTCCTGACACATGTTTACGTATCGTTCCCAAATGGCCCGGATCTGAGATCGAGCCCCTCAGCCCTCGGACACTCGATCCCGGGGACACAGGCCCCGAACCCGCTGTACACAGGGCCCCCGCAGGGCATCGCTGAGCCTCTCTGATGGAACGTTACAGCCCGAATGGCTTTAGCAGGCTGCCCGCACGCTGATTAATAAACGCCTGCAGATCCCCCCCCCCCCCATGGGTCCTACTCACCCCCTTAGCATGAGGTTTACAGTGAACAGCTCTAAACTCTCAAAATATATAAATCACCATAATGGGCCTTTAAGCGCCGTCGAAGATTGCCCTCCGCTTTTACGCTTGCATATTTCATACAGCGTCCAGAGAGTATCAGCCCTGCAGTTCATAACAGAGTGAAACGCACCACGTTTCTGAGGCCAGCAGCCCAGCGATATTCACCAGCACTACGAGGAATCCTAAGTTACACCGCACGGGCGATCTTGCTGCTTGAGGTCAGAGGTCAGAGCCTGACGTCCGTGACGGCAGCAGTCCTGACGTCCGGTGCTGCAGATTAATCATCAATTTAATTAGGCAAAATTTATGCACAGTGCAGCTCACTGTGGTCGGAAATCTAGGAGTGATTCACCGTAACCTCAAAGACACATGGAAATGCAACTGATTACTGGGTATCCACCAATGTGCATGCTGGGAAGTGCAGTGTGACAGCTGCGAGTTGCCCCCGTGCCCCACACAGCCGCGAGTTGCCCCCGTGCCCCACACAGCCGCGAGTTGCCCCCCTGCCCCACACAGCCATGAGTTGCCCCCCTGCCCCATACAGTTGCGAGTTGCCCCCGTGCCCCACACAGCCGCGAGTTGCCCCCGTGCCCCACACAGCCGCGAGTTGCCCCCGTGCCCCACACAGCCGCGAGTTGCCCCCCTGCCCCACACAGCCGTGACCAGTGCTTTTCAAAGGGAGAAAAAAATATATATGAGATTATAAGGACAGTTGAAGGCGTCTATATTATCATTACAAAACAAGGCTCATGAACCAGAACAAAGCAGGTACCTTTTACATAATAACATACAGGCTTCACTAGTCCCCTGTTCTGATGTTGTTCTGCTGCTACTTTCACACAGCTAACAGTCAAGAAATAACTAATACTTTGTAATAATATATCAGAAATGAACACTGGTCATTTCTGCAGATTAATACATATTTAAAGAAGTGCTTGATGTGATTATTTTTGGTATATAATTATTAAAATTATATTTATTAGTTTTCCCAGATTCCAGGACAAATGAATGTGATCAATAAATACTAATCAAGAGTGATCATGCAAAACAAAAAAATAAGACAGTGAATCCAGAAAAAATCCAGATTTAAAATATCCATCCTTAATATTTTGAAAATAACAATTTACAGGTTTCTGCAAATACTGAATCCCGTTGTACTTGTGCAGTGATAATATATTCCATTCTAAACATCCATTCATCAATCCATCCACCCAGAACTGCTCATCTTGCAGAGGGTCCCAGAAAGACTGAATTTCCTAAATGTTTTTTTTTTCTTTTTCTGTTCTGTTAATTCATTCATCCTTTGTTTTTTCAGGTAAGTACCGTCGAGGACAATGAAAGCGCGGCTCAAACGATCCAGAAACGTTACAGTACAGACAAGCCCGTTCGTGTCGTAAAAAGAGCAGAACTGCAGTTTAGCCGAGTAACGCTCACATACGGGAGCACAGATGGCTTTAAGTCAATTATTTCAACTTCATGCGCTTAACTCTAATTTATATGCGAGAACGAATTATTCCACTCATCAAAGACCACAGAGGACTGCTTTCATTTTTTTCATTTGAATTTTTCTCTTATTTGTGGAGCTGTTGGTAGTTCTTCTTTCAGACATAGGCCTATCTATAAGCTAGAAATGGTCGTTTAATGTACATGTTAAATTAATCTAACGGAAAAAAAGATAATTATTAAGATACGTTAATATGTATATATCGGCAGGCCGTTCATTTTCGCCTTGAAAAATATATAAATGACACTGCGCGACCTTCGTCATATGGCGGCATGCAGCCTACGCACGGTTTCATACGTCACGGTCAGGTAAAGACACATCTCCATTTATACGGCGGCGGCGGCTGACAGATTCCAGGGATATTCCTCTTATCACTTTTTTAAATGTTACAGTTAGTACTCGGATTCCTGCGGATTTTTATAAACCATAAACGCAAACTAAGCGAACGTAGCATTTTTTCACCTCAGATGCAGTAATCGCTTTCTCCGAAATTAAAATGACTGTCTACCTATAAGCACCATATTTATTTTAATTTAAATCCGACCGAAATGAAACATTAGTATTAGATTGCTAGTATCAGAGTGGCATTAGATGACATGCTTTGAACAGCTCAAAATTGCCTCACAACTCAAAATTAAAATAACTTAAAATGCAGTCCGTTTAATGTGTGTAAAAGAAAACAGTAACTATCATGTGATTCTGAAATAGGCCCATAATAATCTTTTTAAAAAAACGGGCTTCACATAATGTATTTGAATGGTTCTCGTGTCTTTTACCTAGAGTCATATTCCATTTGTTTTCTTATAACATTTTTAAATCCACCTTTCAGACCCTGTGACCCGAGACGCACCCCTAAAATCGCTCCGGTTTGAAGCTGACACCGCAGTTCGATAGCAGCCAGTTATAAGTCTCCCTGAACCGGGTTAGGTGGCGTCTAGCGTTCGCCAGACCTGTTTTTAAGAGAAAAACGCTCCGTAAACCCTGCTGTCAAAACGCTGGCTTCCGCCGTGAATTTAATCCGAATATACATATACAGCTTTGATCATATCAGGACTTAACTTTGAAATCATCTTCAAAGGCGCGGTGCTCTGAAAAACACACAATTTATACCTAATGGCTGTCTAATGGCTAATGTCAAAGTCAAGGGTGCAGACTTAATGCGTGACGCTCTGTAAACACACTTTATTACCAGGGATCTCGCCTGGACACGCTAAAGCCTGGGGGCCCGGGGCCCGGAGCCAGGGTGCAGGCGAGCCGCTGGCGAGTGTAAATGACCTGCTTACAAGAAGCTGACGCGTGTGATCCGGCCTGCTGCAGCTTTGATCCAAGCCCAGTTCTGTGCGGGATCACGGGGAGCTGCGTTACACGCCAAGGGCGTGTTCTGTTTCAGCCCGGTTCTGTGCTGGATCACAGGACGG